TTATAATTCATAATGATATCAGATCCTGGAATAATCCAGTCAACTGTGAAACTTTTAATAAAACCATGTTCTAGAAGAAATTTAATATAAATTCCACATCACTGAATACACTAGTAATTATAGCATGATACTGATATTCTCATTAAAGAAAATGCAAAAAACAAAGAATTGCTCTATGGTCTTTTATCTTTAATTCTGAAATGTATAAAGCTCTAAAAAGCTGATCTTTTTTTCTCATCTGGCAGCACAACCTGAGCTGAATAGTCTTTATCTATCCTGTTTATTGTAAATAATTATATATTTTTGCTGCAATAACATTAATGTGCTTGATTATTAGAATCTGGCTATCTTGTATTAAGCCAGACATTAAAGAGGTTTGCAAAAACATAAAAATATAAATACACAAAAATGAGGGTGGGATATGGATGTAACATAATTGAACATCTGTTGTTAATAAAGTTAAAGCTGGTAATGAGGATGTGGGAGGGCTGTCATTATATTAGGCTTCTGTGTGACTTTATAAATAAAAAGTTAATATATAGAAAAGTAATAAATAACATCTAAAACATAATAAAAACTAAATCAAATAAATAAATTTACAAGAACTAAAAATAAATACAGTTCTATTTATAAACTGTATACCATAAAATTAGATTTCTTTTATTGTTATCATTTCCTCTTATTATTTCAAATTTCTTCCACTAAAATTTCCTCCTAACTTATAACTGACAATGAGTAAAGTAAATTTGTCTCCCAATTCCTTAAAAAAAGTTTGCTTTTGTTTTTAGGCTTTCTCCTATATGAAAGAGGTGGAGATGGGCAAAATGCGTCATTTAGAAAAAACACAAAAATAGTGGAAATCCTCAACTGATTTTAACCCAAGTAAAATATAAAAATACCCTTCTCAGAGCACAAAGATGAGATGAGTTTGTATAGGTGAGTTAACATCCCAAAAAGTAGGAAGGAAAAAATAAAAGAAGTAAATTCCAGAGAGAACTTCCCTGGATGTTTAAATATCAAGTCATCTTTAAAAAATGATTTTTCTTGTTACTAGTTTCCTTCTTCAGGCCATAATAAAAGTCAGTTAAGGAATAAAAAAGGGAGCTTTTATTGCTAGTTATCTGCATAAAATGGTCGACCATACATTTAAAAGCAAAGCTCTAACTAAAAAACTTGTCTTCCTACATTCAACTGATAGTCATATGGATATTAATATTTGGCAGATGTCCTGTACTTCTGAAATGAAAAAAATCAAGTGATTCACTGTGATGAGAAATTACATTCTGAAAAGAAAATATCTTTCCTAATTAAAAATGAAGAAGAAGATACTATCCAGAGGTAGAGAAATAGTATTACCCTGAGTTGTCTTTGCCAATTCAGTTGTTCGCGGAATCTCAGTTGTGAAGGGTTCTTGGGTGAATTGGTCTGTTTCTGCTGGGGAAAAACACAGTAAGTTGGCTTGTTTTAATAATTATCATTATGAACATATCAAAAACTCCACTTTTCTGCCCCACGTGATAATGAAAGGATAAATTGCATTTATAAGTTTGCCCAGTAATCATACTAATTCAAAGTTCATGGTACATTTTAATAACTCTCATTTATTATATTTTTTTGTCTTCTTGCACAGTTATTTTAATGATTGTTATAATGATTTCCAAAAGTTTTTAGCTCAGGATCATTGTTTCAGGATCCTGGAGGTAGCTGCACTTGGACGTGCCACCTAACTGCCTTCATGTCTCCTCCCTATTCCATAAATTCCACAAGTTATTTAGGTTAGCTGGAAAAGAAATAGAGCAGATGAAATGATGTGTATTTACACTATATATGAATAAATATTCTTCTACTTTCCTCATGTGAAAAACAAAGTTTATGTTTACTGACATACTGATACATTTCTCCTGACCAAAAAAAGAAGTGTGGCAATAGATCTGCTCTCAAAATTATCCTAGAATCATTAAAGATGAGGCAGATATCGAAAATTACGTTAACTTTGCCACATATCAGATCCAAAGAAATACTTGGTGCAAATAATATATTGTCGTCTTTTTTTTTTTTTTTACTCTGCTTTATATATAATCTGAATTTGGCTCATAAGAGAGACACTTGAGATAAATGGCGGGTGATGGTTCTTGCTTCAATAAACCAAGATTCATTTTTAAAAAAATAGGGAGTGGAGGTTAGATAATCAGCATATCCGCTGGCAGTGGTTCTTGAAAGTACTTTTGACTTTGCCCTCATGGGTGATGTTGACTTTGTGGGCCAACAGATGAATATTTGGTAATCAGGGTATATTTGCTCAGTTTAAAATTTTTTCCTTCAGAAAAGAATTCATTTAAACATGTGGTCAGTACCTACATTTCAGCAGATACACACAAAGGATGAGTTTATTTGAAAAGGAATGAAGGGAGGAAAATAGGGATACCAATTTAAACATAACCATGTGCAATGTAGCATGGACAGGGCAGAGAAGCCAAAATCACTAGCTGGGAACTTTTGTATTCCAGTTCATTTTCAGCCACAAGTCAGGCAAACTGGGGTTTCCCACACAAAGAACACATTGGTGCTGAACTCCTCGAAAGCATGGCCAGCTTATCCCAAACAACTGTCCTGACTTGTCCATCCTTGTTTCTCCAGGCTTCCTACCTGCTCATCAGATTAGTCTGGCCATCATTCTCTGCTCTATGCCTCTTTCCCATCTGTCTTTAACCTAAAGAGATCTTTTGCATCTTTAACTTCAACTCTCAAATTGAAGACCCAGTATAAATGTCACCTCCTCTGTGAAGTCTTCTCTGATACCTGAGGTAGGTTGTTTGTTCAGCATGTTGCTCATTTCTCTATCACACTCATTGTAAATTACAAAACTGGGATGAATCCCAGAAGCTCTGGTGACTGAGTATGTGGGGTCCAATTCGGCTCTAACATTAGCTGTGCAACTTGGCCAAAATTTTAAATCACTCTATGCCTCAATTTTCTAATCTATAAAATGGGACAAGTAATAGAAACTACCTCGCAAAGTTGTTATGTGGCTCAAATTAAAAAATACAGGAAGTGCACTGACTGGCACTGAGAAAGCACCACTATCACTAAATCCTGTCTTCATATTAGATGGTGAGCTCTGCAGGGTAAGGACTCATCTTTAAAAGAATTTTATTGGGAAACTCCCATTATTTAGCATTGCGCTTAGTATCCATAAAATAATCAGTAAATACTAGGTGAAATTTTTCTTCTCAAATGCAGGTTCAATACAGAAAAAGCAACACAAAATATAGCGTTGACACACTTTGGGGTACATTCTTCTTTTTAGAAACTTGAAATTTTGTCAAGATGTTTTAAAACATTCTTATTTTATATTAAAAAGCACCAATATATTTCCCTCGATTAATGTAAAAGAATCGAGGGAAATGGAGATTCTGTATAATGGTAAAAGGAGACCCCCTATTATTTGGAAACTGCCCATGAACACAATGTACATATGGCTACTTTAAGGGCAGCCCCAGGAAGGGAAGTCCTCACTGGACTGACACATCAAAACAAAATTTACCCAGAGTGGTTTGTAGTTCCTCTTGAACAGGACTTGGTGAAATCATAGGAATCAAAGGGCTGCCTCGGGTCTCTAAAGGAGCTGCAAAAGACAGGTACCAAGGTTGTCAATCTCTGGTTTCAAAAGTCAGAACCAGGCCAGAATGATACTCCTTCATTTGAAATAGAAAAAGGAAAACGTTGGGTCATGGAGAAGAAAGTGTGCACAGAATCTTTAGGAAAATGACTGGAATGTTAGAATAATGGTTCTCAACTGTTTTGTTTTTTTTCCCCACCAGAATAGATAATAAATGACATTCAATGTTAAACACACTCCATAACTATATCTGGTTAAGGTGGGGAATGTTTTAGATATGGCCCTGGGTCGGTCAGCTGTAACTCTCCCACCAAGAGAGCACATAGGATAACAAAATGAATGAGAATATCATCGTGGTAGCAATCATCTGAAGTCTGCTCATTTATTTTTAAAAACAAACATTTGGCATATTTCAATATATTGACCAATATTAATAATTACTTTCCAGCACTTTTCACAACTTGCTAGTGTGTTGTAGCACTACAGCTGAGAACCAGTAAACCAGCAGAAATATTAACTAGATGGTTTAACCAGTAAACCAGCAGAAATATTAACTAGAAATATTAACTAAATGAGGTAAGTGATGGACATGGTAGGGAGCTGTCTTAAGTTGGTCTTCAGAGCAAAGCTTTTACAACAGTGAAACCATTACTTTTCTATTTTGGAAAGAGTAATAGTGAGAATGAAATGATAAAATGATTTGAGGAGAGATGATGCTTCAATATGATCATTTGAGAAAGACCTGCAATCCTGATAGTAGCAAAGAAAACAATTAGAGTTGGTCAGTATGGAAAAGCCATTACCTATTGTTGTCTGTGGTAGGTCAATTCTAAAGGTAACAGGCTGCAGAACTAGGCCAAAAGCAAACCAAAGAAACATATATGAGAATTACTACCTGGAGAAGTAAAAATAGTTTGTGCTTCTACATGCATCCATTTGAACATTTAAACATTCTCTAAGAACCATAATACATATGAAGAAATTCTATACAGTAGATGCCACCCAGGAAACTTCATTTAGCTAAAACCTTAAAGTTCGCATTCACTGTCACTTTGAGGAAATTTTTGAGTAGGCCTCTACATGTTTTACTTATAGTACATCTATAGCTGGAATGTAGTTATATTTATACTTTGAAAGAAAGTGAAAGTGGTTGGCTCAGTTAATAATTATTTCTTATAATTTTAGCATGATCTCCTATGCAATAAACACACTTCTAGGAAAAATCAGCTAATT